TACAAGACTTGATCAAACTTATTTCTATAACAAGTTAAGGAGAAAAATGGAATGAAGAATACTCAACACGATGAAAAGGACCAACTTTCTAAGCTGAAATAACGTTTTGTTCCACCACTTTCATTGAGTTGGATGTTGAGAAGAAGAGAATACACGCATTTTGAAACCATTGAAAAACTTCTATCAATCAGTAATCAGAGAAATTAGGTATGCTAAAAATCAACATGCGAATGCAACCTCGAAATTTGGTTCAAGATCCTAAACGATTTTGGCTACGGGACGTTGAAAAATCGATCCCGAAAACTTTTATGTTCTTCGGTTTTGACACTTACATTCGATTCCGCATGTGAAAGTGTTTATGTTCGACGAATTTCAGATTTTCTGGATACTTTCCATTCTCAAGGTCAAATCCGAATTTCTCCGCCAAACCTTGTCCGGGAACGATGACAATCTTTTAATATATACATCTCGAGGCGCTCTATCGACTGGTTACAAAACAGAGGTTCAAACTGAAAAGTAAAAATTTCATTTAAAATTTAAAAAATGGGCAACAAAAGAGAAAAAATATTAAAAATTTGTTTTCTAGAAAACGACAAGTCCGTATACAGCTCACTCTCTACTGAATCCAACCATGTTATTTGCAATGTTCCACTGTCTGCCAGTTTTTCTAAAAACAATTTCTCCAGTCTGATATGTCAACAACGGTTTTCAGGAAACACTTCTTCGAGCGATTTTAACAAATCTTAATGAGCCAAAAGAAAGAACTTAGTTCAAAACTTTTAAGTACCAGACGCCATTAAATTTGAATCGAATGGCGACAAGTTAGCCTAGACGAACTCTCCGATGTAACATGCCTATTTTTGTTTTGTTTTATCGTCTGCTTTCTCTTTTTCATCTTCTAATTGCTTCTTCAATGCTGCAATGAGTTTTTCCCCTTCTTTTATCTACACGGATAAACAGATAAAAAGTGACGTCATCCCTGTAACTACATATAAAAACGACTGAACTGCAAAAGTGACCTAAACGGATTGTTCTCAGCACATGCGCTTTATACAAGTATTGCAAGTTTTTCATAAGTCCTCAGAACTTTTTGAAAAAGGATAGTCTAATGATGCCGTAAGGCTGCAAAATATTTTTGATGATCCATGAGATAGGAATGATTATGGCACGTTCGTCGCACCACACTTTCGTCATACATCACGAAAGTTCCTTGGGTGGAGGTACTCATCGGGAACTGTCGTCACCAAAGTGTAAATTTTCGTCACATACACCAAAATTCCGTTGCATGAGGCGTAACTCTACTTCGTCCAATAGAAGAGAAATTTTTTCGCGAACATCTAGTTGACATCGACAAAGATGGATAGCATCATGAATTTTTGAAAAGTGAAGAGATTCTGAGGAGGTACGTTGAAGTGCTTCTCTGTAACATTCCATTGCCTCATCTACGTTTCCCAGGAGATTGTATACTTGAGCAAAGTGTGTGTATATTACAACCCATAAAGAACGATATTCGGGAAGATTATTTTGATAGCAATATACAAGAGCTTGCTCATAGGAGGCCAATGCATCCTTATATTGAATTACTTTAGCGTGTAAATCGCCTAGTCTTTGATAACAGACGATTTTGATGACACGACAGTTTGAGATGATTGTAGATGGCTGTGGCCCGATTAATATAATCCACAGCTAATTGGTATTGATCTTCATTCATGATTAATTCTAGAGCAAGATAAGTAATAGCTGTCATTTCGTGTGTCTCTGATAGATGCGTCTGACAGAATTCAAGTGCACGGTTAAAATAGTCCGTTGCATTCATTATATCACCGTTTTTATAAGTAAAACCGACATTATTCAGTGCTTCTGCATAGTTTGGATGTCGTGGCATGTACTTTTCATTAATATCAAGTGTATGAAGAAACTTTGATAGAGCTTCAGCAAACTTTCCCTGTTCTAGCATGATTGAGCCAATGTTACTTAGAACTGCTGCCTTAAGGAACCCCCCCTCAGAAATTATCTCCGACACCGTACATCTGATCTTGACAAAACTTTCCATAAATGTTTGGCTTAATGAGTTACGGGAATGAAAAAATATTTTTGTCTCCAAGTCTTACCGTTCAGGAGTTTTCCAGAGATCAGGGTCCTAAAACGACCTTGAAGTGCTTCCCGAGATTTTTTAACATACTTCAAGCTGGAGAGTTCGGGTTTGTTCTAAGCTAGACACCGAACTACACGGTCTGACCGCCGTTGATTTTTCAACTAAGCCTTTATTGGTTTTCCAGGCAACCAACAACCTCCAAAACCCGAAAACTCCTTCCTGACTTTCTAAAAATCCTTAATTTGATAAAAAATAAGACCTAATTCAAAAATCATCGCCGGTCAGATGATGTAGTTTCTTTTCCTCTTTTAAACAAAAAAAGAATAAACTCTCTACGATAAACCGCTATAAAAAATCTTGGGAAACAGTGAATAGAGTTTTCAAAATTTCGTCTGTGCTTATAAGCATATAGGCTAAACTGTCCTCTTTCGATTACTGAAATCCCAAGTCTCTATCTTTTACTGTCTTTGTTATTCAAAAGACAACTGCCTACCTTATGTTTTACACAGAGGATCCTCAGAAAACCTCTGAAACCCTCCTCAAAATCATTGATATAGTGTCCACACCTAATCAATAGAGAAGAGTGTACTTTACTTTGAAACCATTCGGAGCTCTCCAGTGCCTATGTGGAGAAAATGTTTTGGGAAGTTTCGACACCTATATTTTCATCCTCAAAGTTGCGATATATCTTGACCGATAGTAGATAGTGCCCTTAGTATAATTTTGTAGACCTGCTTTTACAAGATCAACATCCTCTGAAAGTTTCATTCAGATCGGACTTACGCTTTCCTAGGTATGTCACTGACATGGCGCGGCTTGATTAGCGCATTTTCATGTAGTATCGGCAACAGTTTCGTGTCTGTTGCACATTTTTCTGTTGGTAGCTATTTTTTAATCAATGCTGGAATTCCGGTTTTGAACTTATCCATCTCTGACTTGAGCTGGTCGCAGGTTTTAGTCAGTTTCCATCCACGTGATCAGCTCCAGTACATACAGTTAAATGCCTGTTTGTAACCCATGATTCACGGTGAAATAACGGACAAAACACGGTCACCGTTAAAGAGCAGTTTTTTTACAGTTTTCAGACTGTTAACAAACCTACGAAGTTAACAAACTATGTACGAGTTATTAAATGACAATTTCTGTTGACTGGAACAACTTTGTATAAATAAATACTAAGGATAAAAAGAAAAGAGAGGAACAACAAAAAAGGCAATGACAACGGTGGGATTCGAACCCACGCCTACGAAAGTAGACTGCGACCTGAACGCAGCGCCATAACCACTCGGCCACGCTGTCGAACTAAAGTTGATATTTTTCGATAGTAATTCATAGGAAAGTATGAAGCAATTTGTGATCATGACGCGGCGTGTTACATGAGAAAACTAACTGCAAAAGCTCAGGAGAAAAAAGATCGGCAATAAACTGCTTATTAACTGCTAGTTTACAGTCTGCCTAAAAACGGCTAGTTGACAACCTGTTAACTGTCTAAAAAATCACCTAAAAACTGTCTAGTTTATTGGCCATTTTTAGGTCTGCAGAAATACTGTCTGATAATTGCCAGTAAAGCCACAAAAAAGCTGTTAAAAGCCAAAAAGCAGCTAGTTAACTGTGTGGTTAACCACCCATTTACAGCCAGTTAACTGGCTGTTTTTTGGTCTTACTGTATACTGGCCGTTTTTACACAGTAGTTTCTTAAGACCTAAAAGCGGCCAATAAATCAGACAGTTTATAGACCATCTCTTTTCTGTAGTAGTGAGTGGTCATGGGCTCGCTATATTTTTGTTTTTGAGAGAAAAAGCCAGTTAACTGATTATACGTAAATAAGCTGTAAGTATGTGGTTAAACGAAACTGCTAAATTTTGATTTCTTCGAAGTGTTGAAGATTAGAAGTCAAAGGTAAACGCATTTATCAGTTTGTTATATATGGAAAATTGCTCAGTGCCAGAGTCTTTCCTTGAAAACAGTTCGGAAATATTTTGAAGGAGAAAAAAGCCTTATGAAAGTGGATTTCTGAGAATCTGCCTTGCTTTTGCACTTAACAGATTTCTATAGAACAATTAGACAGAATCCGAAAAGTTGATTTTATTAATGTAGATTAGATCCAGAAATTCTATATTCGGATAGCATCAACGTTGAAAACAGTATACATTGAAGAATAATATCGGGTCATTGCAGAACTTCAATCATTGTGCAGAATATAAGAACAGCGAAGTAGATTTTGGCAGTTGCAAAGACCAGAGTTCGTGTGTTCTCGATTTCAATCTGATTCAAGATTAAAACTTAAACTATCAGTTTTTTGTGGGAGAATAAAGCAATTTTTCCGAAAGCAATTTTGTGAGAAACTAAGGCGCCCCAAATTTAGAGTTACTATGACATTTCAGTTTGTGACCGAAACATACCTCATTCGATGTAGAATTTTCCGCTGATCACGAATATCCTACTTTAAAAATTCTCAGTACGCGTATTGAGCGAAAAAAATCGAAAAATTGAAAGTTGTTGTGATTGATTAATTTCTCTTCTGCCAAACGCCGCCGCGAACAAGAAGATGCGGTTTATGAGGTTTCAACGGGACTATTATCAAAGCCAAATCATGATGCATCTGATCATTTTTTGCATAAGGTTTGAACAAGAAGAGATAGATCCTTGCAGTTTCCATCAGTGTGTAGTCGAGACCTATTGGCATCTTTTCTGTACCAAAAGGTTTCTAAAAACCGGCGTCCTCTATGTTGCTCATATAGGTATGATAGTCTACAGTATCGTCTACAAAATGATAACTATATGACCTCTTTATCTCTCTCACCGTACGGCAAGGAGAATAGATCTGTTCTCTGATATTGGGCTTCCTTAGCACTAGGTAATCTCGAAAGTTAACGCACACATTGGTTATCGGCCTCACTGAATCTATTTCATACGGATATTTCAACTAATATAGGTTTTTGACCTCTTCTATTGTGATTCGCTCTCCTTGTCGAACGGTGAAAGATGAAGAGGTCGCTTAGCTCTCATTTTGTAGCGGATACTTTAGACTATCATACCTATATGCGAAACGTAGGGGACGCTATGACAGCTGTTTTCGAACCATGACCTACTCTCTCAAACACTTGACGGATGCACCACCCTCAAAGAATGTTTTTAGAACACTCTTGGTACAGAAAAGATGCTAATCTGTCTTGGCTACACACTCGTGAAAACTGCAGGATTCTATCTCTTCTTGTTCAAACGCTATTCAAAAAACGATCAGATGCATCATAATTTGGCGTTGATAATAGGTAACAATTGCGGGCACAAGTGTTTTAACAGTCGCGGCACAGCTCATTTTGAAGAAAACAGTACGTTGTCGAATTTTGAACTGACATTTTTTTCTATGATTGTTCGAATAGCGATTAACATCATAGAAAGAATCAGCGTTTCGGTCTCTCTAGAAAATAATCTATTGAATTTTCCTTGTCTTGAAAGAAAACCATATTTTCTCAAACCATTCATTTCTCTTTTGTTATGGTTAATCACATTTGGTCCTGCTAATGTTTCCTAATGGACAAGCTATTTTCTCTCTCCACGTTCGCTATAGTTTATTTAGTTAATTTAAAATGAGCTGTGCCGCGACTGTTAAAACACTTGT